AGTTCTCGAGGCTTCTTGAAGGACAAAGCTTCTCTTTTGATGTTGGCTTCCTTTCAGTATCTCTGTTCACACGATCCCACACTGCATCAAAACTGTTGAGGTACGCGCCCCGGGGAGGCCAACTCATGACTGATAGTGCTTTATTTTGTGTTTTTCTATGCAGGTATGCTTTTACTGCATTGGCAGGATCATGTCATGCTGAAAAATAAAGCTGTTGCCAATCAGGTGCTTTCCAGATAGTATTGCACGATAGACAAAAGTCTGATGGTACTTTTCTTCATTCATGATTCTATCAGTTTTAACAAGATCTCCAACAACAATGGCTGAAATGCAGCCCCAAACCATGACAGAGCCTCCATCGTGTTTTAAAGATGGCTGTAGCCACCCACTGTTGTACTTCTCACTTCTTGCATACTTATTAAAGACAACTGGAACCACGGATTTTAAATTTGGATGCATTACTCCATAAGCCAAAATTTCTTGCGTAATTTGACATACCTCAGCCCTTTTCTTTGTTTGACTTCCTTCAGAATAGCTCCTTGTTGGCCACGGTTCCACTAAGAAAATTTCTGACGGGGCATCAATAACTGAAGGGCCAAATGCATCGCTCACTTCCTTTGTCAGGGGTTGCTGGATTCCTTCCTGTTTTCTAAGGACACTTATCCTCTACACAGTTTCCTCACATTTTTTTAAGTAAGCACTGCACACCACACCGAGATATGCCAAGTTTTGGGCTAATGGCTCTTTGATTATCACCTTGTTGTTGCTGCACAAGACAAACAAACAAACAAACAAACAAAAATGGGTTTTGTTATCAATGCCAAATTGCTAGCAACATAATGCCCTAAAATACAATTTAAAGCTGGTTCTTTTCTAAATTATATATTATGTGTAGACACATCACTGGTTGATTGTTTGATTTGTTTGTTGCTTCATTTGAACTTGAACTTCATTCAGGGTAAGTGGACTACATTTCTAATTAGCTTTGCCAGTGTTTATAAAAATCGTATTTTTAGAATGTAATATAGGTTTTAAAGTGCTACTATAGAACTTCTCAAAGAAAGAAAAAGATGGTCACCGATTTATGAAATAAAAACTGAATTTATGAGCTAATAAAACGCTCGTCTTTGTAAAGGTCATTTCTGAAGCACCAGCCTTGTTTGATATGTGATCAATTGTGTTAGCCTAAACTTAGTTCACCCCCTTGGACACACCATTCTTTTTTGTACAGTCTCATTAAGGTATCGTGGTCATCTAGCCATGGGATCAATTGTTGACATACTCTTCTTCACTTCGCTATGGTAGGCTATTTTAACATCTTCCCATAAGTTTACATAAAAGCTACATAAATTCTTAAAATTAAATCGGGGAACTTCAAAACCCCCGCTTTTCTGTGGGGATTTGTTCGTTTGTTCAGTTTCCAATCATCAAACTTTGTGGTTATACAGTCACATCGGACTCAGTCTTGGGGGAAAAAATATCAGCTGTTCTTTACAAGCATGTGCAAGGACTCAAGAAGGGTCATTACTCGCATCAAAGAAGTTGATATAAATTAAATTACTAAGCATTTATAGTTTAATGTGCAATAACTGATCACAGTGCTTCCAGATATATTTCACGTGAGTAACATTTAATGTGTAAAAAAAAAAGAAATAACCTCTGTTTTAATGTTTTCCACTCTTTCTTTGATCTAAAAAACTAGTAAAACTGTAGAAATATTAACTGGACACCACATTATCACTGACATAATAAGTGAATCTCTAAATTCACCCCACTCGCCAAAGCCCGTAAATGAGGAACATGTGATATTTGCTGCTAGAATGTGAATAAGGCAGTCAGTGTGTAAGTATCGTAACATTTTTGGACTCCTGTCCATAAAGAACAGAGGACAGAGACTGCTCAGAGGAGGGGAAAATGGCTAATTACTGCCTGTAATGTCCTTTCTCTGGCTGAGTAAGGATACTGAATGACAGTCTGGAGCAGAGATGGAGTCTCGGTTGCTTGTTCTGACTGTAAACAATAATAACAGAATCAGTGCTATGGAGAGAAGGGCACTGAAATGACACAGCAGAACAATCTGACTTAGTGTTCCGTCATGGGCTTCTATCTGATCTGAACAAAACATCAGCTGATCATGCTTTTTGAGATCAAAGGTCAGTCACTGAGAGGCCCTGTGGGATTTAACACGAGACTCCAAGATGTTGATAAATGTTCAAATAAAGAATTTGCTTTTCCCTCGCAACAAGCATGGCGTGATCTTTAGTTGTGCTGTCCACAAAATTAGTCTGTGGATTCCATTCGCTTGCCAGCAGAGGTGACTGTTCTGTAGCGTTTTGTGTCATCAATCCTTAGGGTTAGGCCTTGACCTGGAAAGTAAACCCCGGTGGTCTGGAGAAGAAGCTTCTGAGTCACAGTCGACATCGTGTTTGTTCTGAAGAGCCCTTTTCTGTTAGTCCAAGAGGATCTAATTAAAATACACAGAACTGTTAATGTGGCTGCTGTTACAGTCCTTTGTAGAAATGGAAAGCTTTGATAGAGGTTGGATGGTCAGGCAATTCAACTGGACTTGTGTAATAACAGGTGATAGGGTAAAAAATGTTGGAAACCACAGTAGTACCTTTGTGAGGCTTTTTGTGTTGTAGGCACAGCGCTACACATGTGTGTGGTTTTCTTTTCCAATTTTATACTTACTTTATGGAACTGATTGCTTTTGATAAACTTGAAATATGTTATAGGTTAAATAAGCTCTATTTAAACATACATTTTCAGGCCGCTTATTTCTTTGATGTTAGTCTGCACTTATCCAATAGTGCTTGGCCTGTAGTGAGCAGAGTGAGGTGTTGGTGATGGTTCAGGTTTGCTGTAGAAAATTGTTAAAGTTAGTTTTTAATTATGCTAGCATCATTCTGTGTTGTTCTGTGTTGACAGTTTAGTTTCATAGGTTATGCTTTAGGAACCTTTAAATTAGAAGCTATAGCTATAACACCATTAGCCATGGGCTACCTGGGTTACTGACTACCACGCTCAGGCGTATGCAGAGTGCTGCTTTGCTCTGTAAAGACGGAAGATCGCTAAAATGAGTTTCAAGCAGTCTTTCTGATGTTTATCACGAATGAGTCATCTTTTAACATAATGCAAGGCCATGCTCATAAGTAATGGCTGCAACTTCATTAATCGCAGTACTTGAGAAGGTATAGTTACATCATTTACTGCTTTTGTGGCAGTGTATCGCAAATTAAACAAGACACTTAATAAAATAACTAACATTTAAGTTGATTTCCTAAGCTGATAAATTACAGTCAAATAGTAAATACAGTCATATGAGAAGTATGACCTATCAGGGCATAATAAAAATAATCAGGTCCTTATCAGGTCTCAAAATGAGGTAAATACAACTTCAGAGGATGTAGAAAACATGACATATTACACTGTCTATATATTTCATAAATTAGGAAATAGTGGTTGAAGAACTAAGTACACCTTCACTCCTTTCAGTGAAGGAGTGAAGAAGGTAAGAAACAACCAGGTGCTGTAATCAAATGAACCTGAATCACTCAGGTGTATGTTAACACAATGCAAAGAAAATCAATTGTTGCTACCCATCAGTCTGGAGAGAGTTGGAAGAACATTTCCAAATATTTGAGGTCCATCATTCTACAGTGAGAAAGATTATTCACAAATGCAAGACATTCAAGACAGTTGCCAACCTTCCCAGGAGTAGACATCCAAACAAATTCCCCCCAAGGTCAGGGCACAAAACTCAAGAGCTTCACCTGAGACCATGTTAAAGGTTAAAGTTAATGCCAGTACAATTAGAAAAAGGCTGTACAGGTTTGGCTTGTTTGGAAGTGCTGCCAGGAGAAAGCCTCTTCTCTCTAAAAAGAACACGGCAGTATGACTTCTGAAAGACTAGACTTCTGGAACAATGTCGGTTGGACAGACAAGATCAAAGTGCAGATGTTTGGCCATAATGAATAACACAACATTTGTAGAAAAACAAAGCGTAACAGCACGAACACCTCATACTGACTGTGAAGCATGGTGGTGTAAGGGAGATGATTCGGGCCACATGACTGGGATTTTTTGCAGTCATTGAGCCAACCATGAACAACTCTGTGCACCAAATTATTCTAAAGTGAAATGAGAGGTCATTTGTCTTATAGCTAAAGCTTGGGTGAAACATCATCATGCTACATGACAATGAATCCAAGCACAGCAGAAAACCTACAACAGAAAGGCTGAAAGTTCAAGCTCTCAGTTAATGTAAAATAACCGTGAAGGGTGAAAGATATCAACTGTGGTTGTATTTAAACCATTTTAGAATCTGTTAATGTAAAAGATATCCTGATATGTGAAACCAGAAAGGGGGTCTAGTTTGTTTTTCACAACTTCACAGCATGTAATAAATTATTTAACTTGTGAAAACAGTAAGGCAATCACTTGCATTAATTCTCTTTTAGTTAGTCAACTTTTTTGGAGCTGGTTCTTATACTTGCCTAAACAAAAAGCCTAGGCTAATTGGAAAGTCATAGAACAGTAAATAACAGTAAAGGCAACTTATCTGATAATTTGTCATGAAATTTCATGAAAAGACAACACACAGACAACAAGATCGGGAGATCATCCCATTCAGTGGGATAGATCTTTGTACGTAAAACTGTTCAGATGGACTAAAGTGGTAAGCTGATTCCTATAATTACCATTACTGCTGCTACATATTTAAAAAGTTAAACATTGCAAGACAGAAAGAAAACAGTTATGCTGTACAGTTACAGATTGACCTGGTAAGATAAAAGCATTAAAATGTACCAAAATGTTGCACTTTACAAAAAATAAAAAGCTTCCTTGTGAAATGCCGGTAACCACATAAGAGGCATTTGCTCGCCTCCAGCAATTCAAAAATATGTCAGACATCAACGATAAGGAGAGATACTTTCAGAAGGTAAAAAACAAAGCTTTACAATTCAAAAGCTGCAAATTTGATTTACAAACAACACAAATCCACTTTCAATCATTTAATAAAAGCTTGGATACAGGACCTTTTTTTTTTTTCCTTTTTTTTACAGCATGTGGCATGTGTTAAGTTGTATTGGTGGAAAATCAATTTTCTAAAACAACTGCAGTAAGACTGAATAAAACCCCCAAAATCTTAACAAGGCATTTTTCAGACATTCAACATTCACCACAGTTTGGATTGGATAATAACAACAGTGCGCTGGTTTAGGGGGACAACTGACCAACAATATCCTCTTCATCTTCTTTTAATGGAGTTGCCAGAAACACTATCACAAATATAAAGATTTTTTTTAATATCTAAAATATTTATATAAATAGAAAGTAATTAAAGATCTGGGCAAAATGACAAAGTGCAAAACAGGAAAAAAGAAAGAAAGAAAAGAAACAGGGAGGGTTTAAAAAAACAAAACAAACTTTAACAGCAAAGACAATATACAACTGCTCTGAAATCAGCAACCATGAGCCTTGTCTTCATTTTAGCTGCAACAGACCGTAACTTCCCATTTCTATTTCTTCAACCAGTAACTCAGGTTGTTGTTGTCTGTTGATTTAAACGTGTGAGCACAGCAAAGAAAACTGAAGAAAAATTAAAAGATTTGTTTATCTTGTCATAAAAGGGATGTTAGCCATTTAACTGTACACAGCCAGTACCCAGTTAAACCATGTGTATCTACAGCGAAACAAAGCCTACCATGCAGGTTCTATTAAACTGATCTAAACTGGTAGACAATCTCACGCGCTGATGGACAGTCATGGGAAGCACTTTGAGTACTTGGAAAAACGTAACACAAATACAAATGATTATGTACAATTCAATCATCATTAGTGCTTAAACAAAACAACCAATGAGTCCAAAAAGAGTTAGTTTCCACTGAAGCAGTTGGCAAGTACCAGGCGAGTGCATTTCTGAGAGTCACACTGCTAAACAGCAAATTTAAATGCTTTCAGTTACGTTAGCTCTATCGTCAGCAGCAATGAATGAAAGAGGGGGGTACTTCTCTGACATTTTAAAGGTTTATGCCGTTTGTTTTTTGACCCATTACGACATCTGCTGCACTTCAAAAGGGACCTGTTATGCCTTTCTCCATTAGCTGTCAAAGTCTAGTATTAACAAGTAATCTTTGTAAGCCAAAAGTTTGAGCCGTAGACTGATATAATCCATTTTAGACAGTTTTTTTTCTACTTATGCAGTTGGGAAGGGCCACCAATCAAATGAAAACTGGCTCAAAGGGAGGAGCTAAAAGTCAGTATGAGGAAAATCTGAATTATTTTGAATTATTAATGGAAGCAAGCACAGGAGATCCCCTTTGAAATAAGAAAAATCTCTTCACATTTTCTGCTCGACTTTTTTGACATCCTCAGTTAAACTTTGTAACACTTGAAACCTTTAACCTGTGGCACACAGTGCTATAGAAAACAAAAGCATATAGTTTCCCTTCAAATGTAAGTGTTGTCTTTTTAAATCAGCACTGCTTTTTTACACCTGATGCTGCATCTAATAAAAGACACCGAGGGCTCAAAAGGAATGACTACAGAGCTACCAGAGAAGAAACGGTACCTAGCTTGAGCTGGGCAGCTGTGAAGCAAGCGGATACATTTTGACCCAGTTCTGACTCGACATAACACAACAAACCAAGCGTAATCGCACTGAGATGAGGCCGACCGGCCTTGGAAGATAAAGATAGTTTAAAAATATAGCTATAGTTTTGAACACTGGAAGAAGTATGAAAAAGGGTGAACCCACAGGAAATTGGGAAAATGGTGCCCCTTTATATGAAAATACAAATAAGGGCCTGGTTTCACAAAACAAAACCTAACCAGCCTTTTGTCTTGCAATAGTAAGAAATAATTATGAAATAATTGTGACCTCTGGGCTTATTATCTCCTGACAGGACAAAGGAGGATCTAAACGAGAACACAGTAGAACCAGACTACTTCACTTTCCTTTTAGAGCCTTAAATGCTTGCACAGTACTGCATCTAAAGTGTATACACATAATTTGTAGTATGAGAAACAACATGTGGGATATGGTTCTAAAGTTTCAGAGATCAAGATTTCTGTCAGACTACAATAATTATTTAAAACTAATATTAGAAATTTAAAAAGAACAGAAAAAGGATGTGTTGTTTCCTATTGATGACAGTAAACATAGACAGCAGCCATGGCTCAAATTGGTTTGTGTGATTATTAACTAACGATCTAATTATTGAATGTTTTGAGAAACCAGGCCGAGCTCATTATCGTTAATAAACAGAGACAAAGAGACAGGAAAGCTAAAAAATACCCTCTCTCCTACCTCATAATTGGGAAAAGGGGACAATTATGAATAAATACAAAAATAAGAACAGATATGTACACATTTTTAATAATATGAACTATAATAATACTTTCAACATTTCTTCAAAATGACATAGAAATCTTTTTTTTTTGCTGAAAAAAAACCCTCAAACCCTCAAAGGTCAAAAACAAAAACAAAAGAATGATAAATTATTATACAAAAAAAGCGCCATCCAACACCTTAATATTAATAACAATAATTCCATTTTTGGATGCAAGTCCAGGAGTTTCTTGCAATGTTTAAACCAGGACGAAGGGGGAAAAAATACAAAAACATTCTTAAGTTAAATCTGACTTCTTCCTATATTGAAATACAATGCATTGATGTAGCGTTGTTGGTAACACAGATGTCTTCTTCTTCCCTTGTCTGAACAGGTTCTTGTGTGGCACTGCTGGAGATGGCTCTGGAATCAGCGAACAAGGAAGGAAGGTGAACTGAGGGCAGTAAGTGCACTTTGAACACAGGCATGCTGGGATGAGCAGGGAACATTGGGGGGCAGGGGGACAGTAAATAGAGAAATGGACAAAGTTGTTTGGTACAGAAAGAAAGAGGTTAAAGAAGAGGTAAATGCTGGATAAAACCCAGCTCATCTCTTTTTAAAGCAAAAGGAAAAGAAAAAAAATACAAATAAAAAATAGAGAAACACAAAAAAAGGGGTGGAGCCACTGAGGTGGCATAGCTGAAGTCTGAGTCCTACAGTAGTCGTGTCAGTAGGTCCTTTAAACATCAAACTCCCCCAAAGAAATCACAGTTATCTTTCCACTCAGATTTCTGAAAATAAACTCTGGTTATCCCCCTGCAAAAGTCAACAGTGGTGGTGTCATTAACAGTGCCTTAAAATTCCCTTATCAGGAGGATAAAAGGTTTTTGAAATCCTGTTCTGTAAAGACCACAACGGCGCGGAGCAGCTTTCCATCAAAATGATCCGTACTGAGGGATAAGTGGTGGAAGCCACTGCCAGCCAACTGTGGGCAAAGACTTCAGAGTCCCGCTGTCACAGCAGGTGAACTGAACTGTTTTTGGATAAAACAGATGTGACATGATGAAGCAGTCTGATTGGTGCTGGAACTGGAAGAGCGGTGAGGTCAAAGGTCACAAACGGTGGTGGCCTGAACAGCTGCCCAACATTCTGTCCATTAAACAGGTTTCTGTCAGTGATGCAACTTGGCCTGTGGAGAAAAATGCACACTTGTCAAGTGATTTTAATTTCTTGCCTGTAAAGCAGCAGTTTCACAGCAGATGGAAGTTTAATTTGTAATTTATTAATTTATTTGCACAACACAGTCATTCATTCTTGAGAGCTAATGATGATATCCATTTAATAATAAGCATATATTTAAAAATCACTTATTAGCTTGCAACTTTTGTTCATTAATCAAAATCTGCAACAGTTTATGTTTTAGTAGAGGCGGTGACAGTGGTAGAGGAAAAGTCTAGGATCATCCCCTCAGGACAATGAACCAAAATCCAAGTCTAATGCATCAAAGAGTGACAAACATAGGCGTGACACTCAGATTTACGGAGAACATCACCTAAACTGGTGGGTCTCCCAATTTCTGAAAATAATTAGAATAAACAAAATTTTGACCACGCATACAGAGTATTGAACCACCCCTCATACCTTTTTTACCTTTATTCTTATTATTTTATTTTAGGAAAATGGGAAAGAGGTACAGCAATGAATTGAAATATTTGCAAAACACTTGAATATGTAATGCTGTATATAAGACAAAAAAACAAGTTGTATAATTCTAACAAGGCAGCCCTTCCAGTGAGACCATTTCAGATGAGGCTTCAGTGAACAAGAGGTGGATCAACTGAAGAGCCAAATGCATCTCTCAGGTCCTGTGTCAGGCCTTTGCTGGGTTTTTGTTTTTCCTGTTTCTTAAGGACATGACTTTCAGACACTGCTCAGATGTTGTAGAGAGTTTTTAGGCCTGACACTTCTTTTGTGCTTTTGCACAAAACTGCATCTACTGTCATTCAAAAACAAGATGGAACTGAATTTGCTCAGCTGTCATCACTGTAACTTATATCTCTCACTATTTCAAGGACCACCTGATTTTAAGTGGTCACATAACAACTGCGCAAACTTCACCTGCTCATCTATTCACCACTGAATGGTGAAGTATGTCTTTGCTGTTGACCATGGGTCAATGACTGGAGCTTCTTGTAATAAATGCTGAAGGTCTCCTACACACCAGCTCTTAGCTGACTATCAGACTTCCTTGAGAATTCAAAACTCAGCACACTAAAATATATTCCAGGTAGTAGATGACTGCTTACCTGTATTGGGGATTCAGGCCCTGAAGCTAGTATCCCCCCGCTATCGCTTCCATTCCCAAAGAGGCTATCTAACCCACCCAGTCTGCTCAGCTTGTTGCCCTTTCCTCTGTAGGAGCTGGGACTTCGCCTCTTCCTCCCTTCTGCTCCTCCCCCATAAGCTAAGGGTCCTGTGGGAGGAGCCATTGGTTGGTGGGCAGCTGAGGTTGGTTCCCTGTTAGGTGAGTAGGGTATACTGGTGCTGCCAAGTTCACGACTGGAGAGAAGCAAAAGAAGGAAAACAGTATGTTGTGTCTACATACACAATAAGTATATTACATGTTATATGAATATACAATATGTTGAACTAAGTCTGCATTCCCTCTGACTACAATCATGACTTGTTATCCTCTAAAAGAGAATTTAATGGCATAACATGTAGGTATAATCAAATATTTTTGGGAAATAAAACATTTACTTCTAAAGTTAAATATCAAAGTACAGTTTTTACAAGTTTTCAAAATTGTGGCCTCTTAATGAAACTTTTTTTTTTTTTTTTACATTTTACTGGGGACTCACCTGTTTTGCGATATGTGGCTTTGAGGGCCATCAGCTTTAGATAGCCAGCCCTCTGAGCTTCCCCAAAGTTCGCTATCCCCATGACCAAGTCCCTTTTTCTTGGCTGGGGAGGCAGCTGTCCCTCCCGAGCTTTGTAACTGTGAATGAAAGCTCCTGTCGTTCCTTTTGTAATTATCCACAGTGGGAAACAAGGAAGAAGAGGAAAATGAGGAGGAAGAGTAGGACGTTTTTTTTCTCTTCTTAGTTCCCGCTACGGGTTCCTCCACGTCTTTGGATGGACGACTTGCTTTATGCGTGCCGTTACGGGCTTTGCCCTGCGCGAAGACTTGGGTGTGGGGTTGCGGGGAGTCTCGGATGTTAAACACCCCAGCTGTGGATGCAGACTGAGGAAACGTGGCGGTGTACGAGAGGGAGTTGGGGAGGGAGTTGAGCAGACAAGAGGTGGGAGAAGGGGCTTGATGTGAAGGTATGGAGGATGTACCAGATGGGGAGAGGAGGCTCTCAGCAGCCAGAGGCACCTTCCTGAAACATGAAGAAGAGAATCTTACAAAAGAGAAATGTACCAATAAAGTTGTTTTACTGCCAGAATAGCTTGTAGGAGACCTTAAGTAACAATCAATATGCAGTATTTTACTGAACAATGGTTTTCTAAGCTCATTTTAGTGTCTTCCCCTCATTTCATCAGCCTCCTCGGCTATTTTTACTTTACTTCCCACGATTAAAACTCAGAAATTATTTATCTATTGTGATTGTGAAATCATTAACTGCATGCAAACCTGTTCTTTTTTTCCCCTCTATTGTTGCTAGTTTTGATCTTTGATTAAAAACTTACAGGCTTCATGTGTGATTTTTTTTCACCTTCTATTGTTTAAAAAACAAAACAAAAAAACCTTCCCGTCTAAAAAAATGAAACAGAACTTGAATCTGTTTTCCACAGCTGATGAGTTCATCCCTTCCTCTCACATCTTTCCATTAAAACATTACATTTTGCTCATCTTTACCATTTCTCACCCATACCTATTAACCTTTAAGCAAAATATGGTAGTAGAATAATCAAAGAATACACTCGCCTCCACATCTGGGCGTTGAGGTGTTTCTCCACCATGTTTTGGAGTGCCAGCCTCATCCTGTCCCATCGCCTGTCAAACACATAGTGGCCTCTTCCCATCAGCCTGCTGCTGAATACGCAAAACTGTAAGAGGGAGAAAGAAGACAGCTCAGGTGAGAATGTTATGAAAGAATCATAAAGGAGGCAAGGCGAACGATTCTGAAAAGAAGAAGAGTGGAGGAGTAAAAAGCAGTAAAAGAGGCATCAAATGATGGAACCAAAGAGATAAGCTGTTTTCACACATCAGCTCTGGACAACATCAGGGGAATTAGGTTGAGACACTGCACCAAGTTGTCCTTTCTGATACTGAGCTCAGAGCAGGAGGCAGTCTGGTTCAGATTTGTTCTCAATCCAGGAAATAATTCTTTTGGTTTAGGCGAAGGTGCTAACTGGATACAACGCATTCGAGGCAGGGCGAAGGGCGTGAATTCTGGCCATCAGGTATCATAAAGACTAAAAAAGGTGTTAAAATAATGTAATTTTAGATAAAATTACATCAGATATTTGTGTTTTCATGTCTACGTAGGTTGGGTAATGTCTCAAAGTGAACTAGACAACAGTCCATATGTAAAAAATGCCATAGATGAAGAAGAACAGATGCCTAAGAGAAAAACAATGTTAAAATATTTTTAGAATTTGAGAAAATAAAAAATATAACTGGAACTTTTAACAGGAAATATACAGTACAGTGTACAATTTTTATGGATAATGGTAACTTTTAGAACCTCCCATTAATCTAACCGCTCAGGTCAAAACTGACTATGAAGTGAGAGCTCTGACTTGAAGAACTATAATAATCAAGCATTTCTTTAAATTTAGTAAAATGCAGACTTTAGGAGTAAAAAAAACATGTCTGCATCAGCTTTCCATATATTTTAATAATATTATGGGCACTTAGTACTCGCCATTTTAAAAGGAACAAAAGCACATGCCTGGCAAACTTCCAATGTCAGCATAACTTCAGCAAATTAATAGTCCCTACCAATGAGCCTATACACAACCTGCATGTGCGCCTGTACAAAAACGGTGGTGCAAAAAAATGGCAACACACTTTATTTAAAGGTCTTATTTCTAATCTTTATGCCAGGGGTCTCAAACTTAAATGAGTTGCGGGCTACTGCTAACACTGTCACCTAATTGGAGAAAACACCCACAAATATTTCCAAAAATGTAGTGTTTTGTTTTTTTTTTAATTTCAAATATTGTATAACAAGAAAAAACTCAAAATTGTTTTCTTTACAAATAACTCTCTCCCTGAACTAACACAGCCATTCGCTCATCATGTTTGTACTGTCTGCTCATATTGCCTTCATATTAAATAACTTTTTGCTTTTAAAAGAACCTATTTCAACACTGCACTCAACAACAAACAAATTCCCTAAACTTCAAGGGCCAAATAACATTATATTTCTTCACGTCAATATATGGGACCCACATAGTGGTGACGTGGGCCGTGAGTTTGAGACCCCTGCTTCACGCTGGCTGATTGCTCTAGCTTTAAGGATAATACAAACTGGGTAAGAGTGTGAGATCAACCATTTAACATAGATCACAATCTCTTTTCCAAAATAGCAAACTTTTCCTTTAACACATACTATTAAGCTACACCTGAGGCTGAACTGGAAAAAAAATATTCCGCTAAATGACATATAAAAGCAGACCCTGCAGGGATAAAATAGGAGATAGGATGACTAAAACTTTTGTGAATTGGTTACTGAACGCCCTGAGGTTATGGAATAAGAAAATGCATGATAGTGCAGCATTACTGGGTCCTTCTATTTTACCCCTAAAGGCTGCGGGTGATGACTGGAGTAGTGAACAGCAGGTCTGTCAGCATCCTCTGGATCTGCATCGCCCTCGTCGCTGGAAAGTCGACTGCTTTCTCCAGCAGCGGTCACCCAGCTGTGGGGAGCTGGTTCTGGGTTAGGGGCCTGGACAGGAGATGCTACCGTGAGCAGAGGACCTGAGGTGGAAGTGGAGGAGCCTCCTGGAACCCTGGGACAAAGGGGTGAATAAAGTAATGAGACAAAGTGGGTTAAGGATTAAAGAACTGGAAACATATGGGACAGAAAAACAAAAATTAAAGAAAAGAGACAGAACAGGAGCCGTGAAAGGGAAATTTAAATGTGAATGCAGAAGACGAAGAGTGTAAACAAAGAAAGAAGGAAAAAGGAAGCAAACTCCAAATAAGTTCATTTTTAAAGAAGGGTTTTGTGCTCTAAATAGAAACAGGATATACGTTTTTCACAACAATTTGACATAGGGTGATTTTTCTGCTTGCTCACTTCTAGCAAACTGTGTCTATAGCATCCCCTGGTGGAAAAGGGTGCATCTGTCTGAAGAAAAAATGCTCAAGTATGCAAGTGAACACAATCTTCTCAAAATGACAAGTAAACATACTTAAGACTAAAATAAATAAGCCATTATTTCTGTTTAGAAAGCATTCCCTTTCTCTAAAAGAGCAGTTTAACTTCAGTAGCCAAAGTTTAACAACATAAAAATGGCAGAAGTACATAGAAAACTATATAAAGTAGGCATTATAATATACAATGCTCCTGAAACACACTCCTCATTTTTAAAGCTGATTAGAGTCCTAAAGCTTTTATTATTTGCATATTTAATACTTTTCACATCCTTTGTACCTTGGTATGTGTGCATTTGCCAGCCGCAGCTTCAATGTGGAGAGAGGTCGTCCATTGGGGCAGTGAGACTTGCTGGGAGACGAGCTCTCTTTAGATATAATACTCTGGCTGGAGCCTTCCTTCCCTCCCTGCGCTCCGTCCTTGTCCTTATCCTTTTCTTTCACTCCATCCTTCTCCTTCGCCCGCCCCTTGTGTTCAGCCAGGAGGATGTCAAAATGTTTCCTTCGGCCAGGGACAGCCCGCCGGTGGGTTAAAGAGTGAGTCTGCAGCAAATGAAAAAAAAAAACCAAAACAAAACAATTATTTTATTCCTCTGACCGTTTAGAAATACTGGGTTATTTCCAGAGAGACTTTGTAAATGAAAATATTGATCTGTGAAGAACAGACAGTACCACAAACACACTTCACTGGGATTGAATGCTGCATTGAGAGAGGCTCAAGACACGACTCTTTGGTTTCATGATAGTTTCCATAACCTCACACTGTATGTGTCTACGTCACACCACACAAACACGGGTAAATATTACCGTTCCAGGTACTTTGGAAGGTAACCAGCCATCAAACATTTGGTTTTCCAATAGATATTTACCAAACAAGGCAGAGAGGTTGCTTTAGACTGCCAGGCCTGCGTTTGGAAAGAAAAATACTTCCTGCACTTATTCAAAGGGAGCAGCCAAGGTCTGTGCATCTTTAACCACAAGGTCCCAAAGGTTTATGTATCACATTTCTAACTATCCTGACTATTGAATACACATTTGAAAGAAAATAAAACTTTTAAAAACTGAACAAGATGCCAGTGTTTGGCGTGCTAGTCGAAATTATGGTGATATATTAGGGTTTTCTGAAGTTTGAAGTAATGCTGAATTCAGAAAGAAAGGGGAAATCTGAACACTGACAAGTGTCAAATATAAGTTAATTTTAATTTAAAGATCCACCATGACCACTGCACTTTCCTCCCCCATCTCCACCTCATCCTCTTCCTTGTCACCCAAAGCTTCATCCTGACCTGAAATCAGGACTCTAACATCAGAAAATGTCCATAAACATGCCTATTTATTCCTGATTAGATTATTCCAGATTAGACATGTGACATTCCTGCCTCCAGATAGCTGACACTGAGCTGCCTGGTTAAAAGCCAATGTCCCTCTGATCAACAGTTTGATTACATTCTCACATTGTGTGAGAGTTTATTTGCCAATTGCCTGAGTGTGACAACATTAAAATCCATTTTAACATTATTTTTTGTAACGCTGACAAGATAGCCATCATTGATCTGAAATGAGCTCCAGTGACTCATCAGCCCATACTGGACACATTCACAAATTTTTAAAGCCTCGGATGCTTCACAAACAGCACAAAACCATCGATATTAAATTTTACATGTTGTAAATATGTTTGGTGTTTTTTTGGTTTGTTTTGTGGATAGTTTGGCAATCTGCCCTCTAGCTTATCAAGACAAAATGCTATGTGTCTAGCGATGCTGGACATAGTAGATCTGAACAAGATTACTTTGACAAACCACTCCCACATGAAAAAATGGCAACAAATTAGCCTGATACATCTTTAATTACTTAACCAGTTTGCAGTGATTAGTAAAGCTCAGCAGAGGTAATTATAGGGCAGTAAAATAGAGTATTACTTCTTAAGATGTTTTAGCCTCATCCAACATCTATAATTACCTCATCAGGGGAAGTGTAGGCCCTGTAATGCCTCAGCAATGCTACCCCAGCATTAACTGAGAACGGGTGTACACACAAGAGAGGCAGCCAGAGAGCTAGATATGATCATAGCTGTGGTCGGCGTCTTTCAGTAGCGACATTAATGTGCCCTTTAACGCTATTACTCTCAGAAATTGTGGTCAGACAAAGAGCAGGAGGGTCAGACGTTACTATTATCTCCACAGAAAGCACGCAGAGGTTGAGAGTGTGGGTAACCCTGCACTTGTGCCTTTATTTGCATTACCTTGCAGGTGAGAGACCGTGTGCAGGGTCGTTTGGTCTCGGGGTCCTGCACTCCGCAGTGCTTGTTGGGATCAAACACTCTCCCTGCAAAAACAAACACAACACAGAAACACACACTAGAGTCATCTGGTAATTTCTTCCTTCCTTCCTTCGAGTATCAAATCACATTTGATGGGAGTGGGAGCGCTGCAACACCACGAGCAAATCAATTTTCCTCTTCTGAGACAGCAGTTCACTCGCGTCCTCGCTCACATTTGTCTGTTCACATGTTGATTCATGTTCATTTGATCATTCAGTTGTGGTCTGAGGCTCCTCTAATAGCACCAGTCTATGTGACATTATTAGCAGTCCTTCCAGAATCAAACAAAAAAAACCAAACAAAAGGAAGACTCTTCATACTGTGACAAATTATTCTTGACACGACATGCTGTCAGCCTTACAAGAGTCACTAGTGACTGACAGCCGAGCACACGCTCTCCAGCCTTAACGAACTGTATCCAGAGGGGAAAATTTGCACTTGTTAATGATCTCCACCCCTAAAATTTAAGGCCAATTTCTTACCCGAGTCTCTGATGTATGTTGTAGGAATAATATTAAAATGTATATGATGAAATGACTCTAGTAAGAGTGGATGAAATACATATATGTAGTTTGTGAGGGGCTGCCAGTTATGATGAGGACTCAGCTCCTTATCATAACAGCAGTTTCTTCTGGCTTGAGTTTTAACATTTTTAACAGTCTCTGTCTTTGTTGTTTACCCACTTGATGTCCAAAAAGTTAATTATACTAATTTTCTCTCTGGTTTCATTCTTATTATTACAGCCAAAATAGCTGATTTGGCTCCTCACCTTTGAAGTCAACTTTCTCTGACTGGCAGCCCTTCAAAAACAAAAAGCAGTGTGCCTGGGATGACAACATTAGAGACACAACACACACACACACAAAAAAGTACCCGACAAATGATTTTACTTGTTAATGGCATCAATTACACAGATATGCTTAATTGATGAGCGCGTGAGTCTTGAATTGCAAAACAGAATTTTATTTTTGGAATTAATAAATTTAAATCAGCCTTTCAATTAGTGTTCTATTATTTGTCAACTTGAAATGTCAAACCTAACTATTTAAGTTGGGTTTGACATTTAGAAAGAAAAAAAAGACAGAAAAAGCAGTTAGTTCTCTACTTGGCCTACATTTGCAGACAGACAGACCTTTCCTCCACACAGACTTGCAAATAAACAGCAGCCTCCAGTCAGCAGGTTATCTTGAACAGTGTTACTATCACAGGGCTGTAATCTTGTGCTGGCCTTTCCTATAATCCCTGTAATCGTTCTGTGTTTGCAGTATGAGACAGCAGCTCCAGTGGATATATCCAGAGCAACAAACACGCACTCAGACATAAACAAACTCACATGCACGCTCCCTCAGTTCTTACAAACTTGATAAAAAGAAGTGAGAGAGAGAGAAAGCGAGACAGAGAAAGGAAGATGATCGCTGTGAACAGAACCTGAGCAAGACAAACCAAACAACACCAAAAGCAGAAGGTCAAGAAGAGCAAGAAACAAGACGAGTGACGTGCAGAGAGAAAAAGATGCAGCCGGGAGCCTGCGAAATAAAAATTAGGATAGAGCATGAGCTTGTGAAAGAGAGAGAGGAGGAAACAAGGAGGTTGAGAGGCAGGCGGTGTAGAGTGAGAGGATGGAAAAAAAAAAAAATGTAGACGCACAGGAGGTGGGGAAAATCTCTCAAGAAGACAAGCAGCTTTTTGGCAGTAAGAGCTCGTGAATTAGAGGGTGTAAATCAGAGGCTCAGAGCATAGAGGCACTCGGTGCAAACTGAGAGAAAGACTAGTGACAGGAAAAGAGGAAGAGAAGGAAAAGCAGCATAGAGAGATGCGACACAAAAAAAAAAAACCCAAACCCTGAAATATCAATAGGAAATCTTTAACTTTACAGCCACATGTGTTTTCACCCCTTCTTATATAGAATGATCCAGTCAGTTAACTTGCGCATAAATGTGAATATGAAAGTAAAAAAGTTTGGGAGTGAGAATTAGTAAGAAAGCTGAGATCGGCAGGCAAGCAGTGAATAACAAGAAAGGAAAAAATAAAGGAGAGAGAAATCCATTAAATGTAGGGAGGTGTCTGACCAATTCCGAAGCTCACAGTTTCACACGCTGCTGACCAGTGTGCCGCTAAACACTCAGGCTGGAAGCTGTCAAAAGAATACTGAGGAAAAAGTGCACGAGCTTATCTGGGTGCAAGTGTGCGGTAATGTAGGAATTCTAATGTAAAGCTCAGTAGGAATTAAATGGGCAAAGGCTGAATTATGTAACTCTTGCAGCACAGGAATGTCAATCGTCTAAAGCGTCAAGAATCAGTTTCTTGAGCTGCAGGCTGATGGACTGAAATCCTAAATCAACCATAAAAAAGGCAGGAAGGAAAATGACTCAATATGTCACAGTGAAACACACATGCAGTAAGACTTCTGCTGGATTCCCCCCCCCTTCCTAAAAAAATGAAAAAAAAAGAAAGAAAGTGCTAACCTGAAAGTCTTTTGTGACTCCTGGAGGGAGTCTTAGTTCCATTCTGTTGCTTCTTCTCCAACGGTGACACTGATGGCAAAGCTGGGAGAGCAACAGCTCGGTGAGAAGGTGAGGGTGACAGGGAGGATTTCCGATCCAGCGGGGAGGGAGACGGCGTTGACGCCGCCCTTCTGTCCAGCGGGGAGCGAGCTGGACTGGGCCGCTTATCTAGAGAAGATGGAGGCGTGATGGATCGCGGCGTGGATGGTCCGCTGCTGCCACGACCATTTGTGAGCTTTTCACTCAATCGCTGGGAGGCCTGGGTAGTGAGGGATGAAGGCTTATGCGAGGAAGGGGAGGAAGAGGAAGATGTGAGGCGCACGTGTGTCGCTGAGTCGCCTCGGCTTAGGCACGGCATCTTCTCCAGGCTTACGACTGGCAGCGACACGCTGGAGAATAGTGGGAAGAGAGTTGCAGACAACTTTTTTTTGCAATTAATGAATAAAATGTGGGATTTCATCGGACTTAGTAACAATGTTATTGTATTGTGCACGCACCAGGTCTTGTTCCGCGCCCCCTTGGGCGGGTACACAGCAAGTGGAGCCTTGCTGAAGCGGGAGTGAGGGTAATCTTTAGGTATCCTGAACGCCAGTGTCTCCCCAGGACTGGGAGCCACAGCGGGAGGCACTGTGGATGCTTTGGGCTTCATGGCCAAAAAAGGACTCCTGGAGGGGACTGGGGAGCTGTGCTGCTTCTCTAAAACAGATCAAGCCCAAAAGAAAGAAAGAAAGAAAAAAGCTCTTATTCATGCATGACAAAAATATGAATAATAAAAATAATTTGACAATCAAATTTGACACATTATGACAATCAAGACAGACCAACAAGAGCATGCACTGCTAGTGTGACTTGCCTTCAATTAGCACCGAGTCTTTTTAAACCAACTCTACTCTGCTTAGTTGCCAGATGGCTATGTTGTAACACAGGGGAGAGCAAATCTGTGGCTAAACTTCTCCACAAAAAGAAATTTCCAATCAACTAAAGGATGCTTTTCTCTAATTAGCAGTATGCCTGACACCATCTGAAGTGTCCTTTTCATGATGACCCCCGACCCCCCCACACCCCACCACAAGAGCCAACAATTACAATATTTTTGACCCAGATCTGATCAGAATACACGAGTTGGAAAAAAGTAAGATGCTGAGAACACAGAAGGAAACATAGACGGGAGTAAATCACAAAGCAGCAGGGAGGAAACACGGAGGAGAGGAGAGGAGCTCACACTTACGGTTTTTGCTATGCATGTCTTTGTGGGATCAGGGTGGGTGGGGGAGTGGGGGTGTGTGGTCCAGGACTGTCTCTGTGTCTGTCTCACAGGCAAACTATATCCCAGCTACCTGAATGAAAACAGAGGATTGAATATATCGTGAGCACTGAGCACAAGGCAGGGAAAAGACAGAAACAGTAAAACGGCGCTTTGGATAGCTAGTAGAGTATACAAATTAGGTGGAATGCCATCCTCTTTTTCTGTTTCCCTTAAGGCACGTCACTTCTACAAGTGAGCTAACTAAAGTTAACCAACATCTGCAAGACTTCGCTCAAAGATAAGCTGGAGAAAAGCTGATGTTAATTTTGGGATGACAATAGTTTGAGATCCCATCACTGGCAGGCTTTACTGTGACTTGACTCATTACCTTCTGCTTATCAAAAATGAACACTAGCATTGTTAAATAGCTGAAACTATACCTGTTCATACGCATTTGCAAACACTACTGTGCAGAGGCACGGATGTGGAGGCAAATATAAAGTTTTCAAAAGTCAGGCATCCGCGAAATATTTTATCATTACTTTGTGAGAGCATAATTTGCATGTGTGGGTGTGTGTGCGTGTGGCAGGTGTGTAAATAAGCCAGTGGAGGCAGACCTCCACAGAGGCAGCTGTCTTCAGAGTACTAGGATCAAAGTCCAGCGACACATTCACAGGTATGCACCTACAACAGTGCAAACTTTGCACATTAAATCTCTCATTATTTTACATTATATTAAGTAGTTAACTCCACTGTACGGTTCGATGAGGCTGCGCTGCAGAAATAGATGGGAAAAAATTGTGTCTAATTCAGGGTTACTCTCCGATTTAGGCATTGTATTATTTTCCCAGGAATGAAAAAGGTAAAAGAAATCTGAAGAAATATGATATCAGATTTCTTGTGATTATTCAGCCAAGCCACACACCCCCAATACTCTGTGATTCGACTGGTTTATACAATGTGTATACTATATTTTATTTGCTTTATTATACAAATAGCTTTTGCTCATGATAAGACAACAAAATAACCTGATATAGAACTTAAAAATAATTCTTAACAAAATGTTGCAAGACTTTTAAAATCTTTTATAGCTGTATGTGACATAATGATCAACTTTTCCCTCCCCAGAACAGCCTCATATATATATTTTATATCTTATATATCAGAACTCATCCAGGGAGTAAGGAGTCAGTTAGGAGTTAATAACACTAAGTTACCGTACAATACATGGGCGAGTGCTCAGGCAAGGTCACTAAGGCACTCGACCACAAGGGCACCCTCCCTACTACACTCTCAACCTGCTGGTTGTTATGGCAATGCAGAGAGCCCCAACAGCTGCTGATAGGCTCTTGACTCATCCTGTGGGAGGAGCCAGCTGATGATGAGGAAATACAAGTTCTCAGAGCTCAGCTGGGTTTGTTTACACTGACAGAGGAGCAGGGAATAGAAGTAGAGAGAGGAATGGCATGAGAAAAATCTGAAATACAGATGAAGATTCTCAGAGTGTGCTGGAGTCAATGGCAGTGGACTTGGAATTTTAAAAAGAGCAAGTTGTTTGGGATAAACAGTGAATTTTAAAAAAGGCATTATGGATGTATACAGAGCATGTTTCCAAAAATACCCCTACTGAAGAAGTTCCCAGGAATACGGACAGACTGACATACTGAAGAAACACTTCCTTTTTTTTTTTTTAAGGATATTTTTAAAATATTTCATCTACCAGAGGCTGAACTTGCATGGTTTCAAACATATCACAATCACAAGCAGTAAGCATGATGGATACAAAGTTATATTGCATCAGAGAGTGGTAACAGCAGCTCAAAGTTATGGGTTGTCATAGTAATACACAAGAAAAGAGCAGTGAGAAAGACTGAGTGTCACAGCAAGTGATGGAAAGATTTCTTATTGTCGATGCTGATCTGAACCCTAAACAGAGTCTGAAAAAAACAACGAAACAACAACGACAACAACAAAAATAGACTGATGCCTAACCTGGGAGGAAAAAAAATATCACTGTGGAACAAATATTCTGGTGAACATGCCACAGCTGAACATTTTTTCAGCACACGATCAAGTGTCTGTCTTCGAAGATGGACAAACAAGTGTTTTGTATATTTAACATATGCCAAGTTTTACCTCTAGATTAAAAATTTAAATCAGTCCTGCAGTTTATCTGCCTCCTGGACAGACACACCAAGCCCGTTCTCACATTGACTCCTGACATTACAAACAGAAGCTTTTACAAATGAGACAGCCACATCCTCTATGTTTAACAGGAAGAGAAAAATGGAGCATGATTTTCTGCAGTTCCAAAGCTTAGATTGCACTGCTGGTTTTCAAAGAATGATTTAAGTTAGCTATCATAATGTTGCGCTACTTGTCTCATTAGATTTTTTTAAGTTCATTTTATACTTTAAACTTCTACTTCTTATTGTAGCGAAGCAGCATTAAAGTACCTTAACTGCTACACTAAGTACTGCAGCCAGTTAGACACTCATGTACATTTTTTATTCTGTAAATATAAAAAAAATTGGGAGCCACTTCTCTCTTGCATTAAGAGGTAAGTCAATTGCTCACTAATGGGCCCTTCAGCTATGGGGGGGGTTATCACTTTCTGTATCTACAGATATGTATATAGAAAAACTCTTCACTGTTGAGAAAAGTCTCTGTTAGCATCTGAGATGATGTTAAAAAATATATCAAAGCCATGTCCTTCTCTTCTCTAAAGTGCAGACAAAAAAAAAAAATTTTAAATGTGAAGACACTTCCTCAGATGTACACTATCAGTTGGCATTTTAATTGGCCCATACCTCAGCTAACAGCATGCATACAGCCAAGCCACAATAACAATACCACAACTGTGGCGTGAACGAAACTCAACAGAAAATCTGTGGTTAAGGGCAAAACTTTCCAACATCAGCCAAATAACATGTGCGCCACAGCCCGAGAATGCACATTTTAACAACAACAACGTCAAACACAGAAGCGGCCAAAACACTTGTTAAAGGTAGAAATGGTTGTGATCTGCTGCTCAATTAATTCCCCACTACAGAGAAAAGTTGGAAAGCGAGTAAAGCAACCAACAGAAACAACATGAACCTTTTCATCATGCACTCAACTCACTCAGACACACAAAAGCACACACAGCAGGGCACAAGCAGGAGCAAGGTTAGAATACAGACGCTCAGAAGAGTGAAGAGAGGAAACGGTAGGAAATGAGCATTAAAAGAAATATCTGAACATACTGTGGAGACCTGATTTATTTAGGGACGTGGCTTCAAAAGCACAGCTCATTTGTTACTAAAGTAGTTGTGACTCTTGCATTTTGTAGTTTCGAATGCTTTTCAAGACTCAGAGGTGCAAATTAAATGCTGTTAGAAACACTATACAACTATAATTACCATAATATAGTCATCAATCAGCTAATGATAGTGGCATTACTGGCAGGGCATACCAGAGACAACAAATAATCTAGCCCAGACTTACTTCCTGTTCCACGTGGAGGTTATTGCTTAGAGCCAAACTATGAATGCAGATAAACAATCAGATAACGCCATTATTTTCCCATCCATGTGTTTCCTTTTTGCTGTTCACGTGCACTTTTATCGGCACATGATCAAAGATAATCAAGTGTCGTTGCCAAAATATCGTCTATTGCCCACAGACACTGTAGAGATAACATTTATAAGATTATAAGACTAAAGTTATGAAATCATACTTTTTTCATTGGGAAGGGTTCATATGAACATCGTGATCTGGTTATGAAAAGCTTTAAGATTCACTCACAAGCATTAAATATTGTTTCCTTGCACATTTTTGTCTTTACAAACTCACTGGAGTGAACATGCTGCTAACACTGCCAGAGTAAGGGATTTAGCTGATATCCCACTGGGCCATTTATGCTAAGAATATACATGCTTGCTTTACTCTAAGGAGATTTAAATAAACAAATCCACTAAACAGAGCAAGCCTCTGATGTATAAAAGAAAGTATATGTTAACCTTTTAGCACACAAGACTCTGCATATTTAAATGCATTCAGTGTGCGTTCTAGCTTTAAGTTATCTCTTCAAACACATCAGAAATGAGCAGCAAACTGGGCATGTATAACTAGGAGCCACTGACCCCTGAGGCAGCCAATCCCCTCCTCGTTCTCTGTGCATGAGTGTGTGTGTGCACGTGCATGCATTTCGGTTTATGTAAGGCCTTAGTGCCGTTTTGATATACAGGTCAAGCATGAAAGTTAATCCCACGATGGATACACACAAAATCAAATACAAGGCAACTGCGATGACTAAAAAAGATACTACTACAGGGTCAAAACATTTAAAGCAGAATCCCCGGCAGGGAACAATGGCACTGTGCTTGTGAGGATGCTGCAGTGACATGATTAGGATCTACAACAATGGGAGGAAATGCATAAAATATCATAAGAATATCCTGACAGCGTGAGCTCCTAGAGGCAATCTACTCAACAGAGGTCAGGAAGAGGATTTTTCATGCCATGACACACAGCAGTTGTGTATATAAAGCTTATTTAGGTATGCAGCAAGCGACTCAACTACAGTAACTGAACTGGAAGACTTAGTTTTAGTTTTGCAGTGACCTATAAAAGTACATGATGAAATCCACACTGAATTCCTCAAAAACCAGAGTCTCCAACTAGTCAGTATGTGAACTGCCCTGCTGGTCTGCTTGGTGCCTGACTATTATGGTATTGTGGCCTGGAGGATCACTTTGTTTTATAGGGGAGCTCTCAGGAGATTCCCACTCTCGACTGTGTGTTGTGTTTTTGTGTGTGTGCACGAGTGTGCTTCAGACCTGTTGTCACCCGACCGTGTGTGTGTGTCAGCAAGTAGAAATGCTGCCAATGAGAGAGAGGAGGGGGCCTGCAGGGGGCAGGAGCAGGGACAAAACAACACTGGCTGCCAGGAGTCTGTGAGAGAGTGTGTGCATGTGTGTCTCACAATACCACTGACCTCTTTCTGCTGAGAACCAGAAAGTGAGAATGCGTGTGTGCATGAAACTTCACAGGCCTCTCTACTCATAGGAAGAAATAAGTGTGTTAGTGTATGTGTGTGTATATTAAGTGTGACCATGCCCCCCACACACACACACTTTCCGCACAAACAGAAAGCTCAGGCTAGAAGGAAGCAGCAGCTCACGGGCAGATGTGAGCGAGCTCAGTAGAGCCACAATCAAAAACAAACAAGAGGTAGTTGGACATTGTGAGGGGCCAATGAGGTCTGAACAAACAAGAATGTTTTAAAAAAAATAGACTAACAATTATTTTCAATTTGTTAGTTTCAACAGTTAATTTACTATGCAAATTCCTGTCAGTGTTCTGCTACTGGAAACTGAATTACCCGGAGGAACCTACTGGGGGATTAATAAAGTTCTATCTATCTATCTAATTTAATAAATATAACAACAACTGAGCAACTTTGTGAGCTACTCTCATTGGGCTGCAGTCTCCATAGCGACCACATGCTATGGTCGCATGCTTCCTGCCTGTGCAAGAAGCATATGCAGCTTAGCACAGTATATACGTCATGTTGCTATGATACATATGATGTATGCATCATGGTCTGGATCCAGACACTCACTTCATGTCCATTAAATCTTTTGTGCATGTGCCTATTGTTTTAGATAAAAATGCATATACACAGTTTCTGTAAATAATTTAGTGTATCATAGCTTTGATCCATCTGCTGAGTGTTAGAGGGCAAAACTGTATGATGTCTATTTGCACAGAGGGAAAGTAGCAGGGAGGTCATGTTTGAAAGTGCCTTGCAGGGATTCACAGAATTTACTTATTGATCTAAACCGCTCTGTGTGCGTATCCATGTATGCATACGTTTGTTTCGGGCTTCTTGTGGGACAACACCATACTCCCAAGCGTGTGCGTGCAACTTAGTCAAGTGTATGATTATGCCCTGAAGTTTTATGTCCGTGTAGTTTGCCTTAAGGGGTTTGTGTATGTGTGTGGCTTACCATAGTGTGTGAGAATGCCCTGAGGAGTGACCACCTTACTGCAGACATGGCAGACAACAAGAGAAAAATCCTCCAGTGCTGGGCACTGGCTGTAGACAAGCATCTCTGAAAGAGACAGGAAAAGTAGGTGCCACAATTATAGAATGACAGAAGCAGGCAGAGGGAACAGACACATAGACAGCAACTGAATATGACATATTTTGGCAGAACAGGGATGTATATAAAAATAATAAACATAAAGTCAGGATTGTTACACGCAGGATATTTAGAGACACTTGAGCTGAACAATCACTTGTCATCAGCTTCATCTTAACAGAAACCTCAAACACAAACCTCCCATTGCCTGGCACATTCCAATCCAATGGAAAGAGTAGAAGTCTCATGCCTTCTACAGGTCAGTCATCATGACTATTGGCTAATAATGGGAATACCTTTACAATTTATATTAAATAGTAAAAAAAAAAAAAAAAAAAAAAAAAAATCACAATTTCAAAAGCCACAAGACAAAAAGGAACAAATCTTTACAATTTATTTTATTTGTTAGGAAAAAAACCCTAGTTTGATTAATTAAATGTGAAATGTTTATGTACACATTTAGTGATATTGTGTTTAATATCATCTTTAGACTTCAATACTATATGAGGCTTTAAAATATGCATCTTCGGACCAAATACTAATTATCTAATTTTTACTACCAAAACCAACAATCTACCACAGGCACATGGATAATTAGTGTCTTTTCTAATTACTACACAGACAGACCTTCAAACACACTAGCTAGAACAAAACACTGTAGGTTACACCCCACCCCCTCAGGGAAAGTTGAAGATTAAATTAAATATTGAGAATCCCTCTCCCCCATATATGTCCAATGGAAAACATCTATTATCTCTTCTGGCTAAGCTTTGAGAAGCTAATCTATCTGTACCTAAAAAAAAGCTCCGCTGTCAGAAATCAGAGCTTTTTATTAGCAAGGGGCTTAAGCCAGAATCACTCAGCAGAGGTTGGATGTATGTATGTGCATGTGTGTGTTTGTGTAAGGTTGCAAAGGAAAAAATAAATAAATTAAAAAAATTATATATATATATATATACACACACACACACACACACACACACACACACACACACACACACACACACCGGTATTTATTTTTTAAAAGTGGGGGTGTCTGACAGTGAGCGTCGTCAAGATCTTACATTGCTAGCAAGTTTGTTGTCATCTAGAAAAGCACAGACAGGATGTCATGCTTAATACTAGGGGTGGGTTTTGATGATTGATTTATCGATTAAAATCGATTCTCGCTTGGATAACGTGATATCGATTCATTAAAATCCTGAATCGATTTTTAAATATAAATTTATTTTGCCCGAAATGCCAGAATCTCAGGTTAGACCTCACAAAATTTCAACAACCACCAAACAGCTAAAACAGTCAATGAGAGCAGGTACACGGATTCTGCACAAAGACGTAAACACAAAGCGCGGACCCGCCGAAACATCAGAATCAGTGAGATGTCGCCTTTCTCACCCGACGGCACGGACACGAGCTGAGAGCCGACAGCTCGCTGATTCTGATGTTTACGCCGCTGTTTACGCCCTTTTTGCGCTGATTCTGAAGCTGCAGGTTTTATCTCTCTCCAAACAATATTGACTAAACCAGCAGCAAAAGAAGCAGCAAACTACGCTTCACATAAACATCGTCATGAATTCCCTCTTACCTTTGCTGTTTTGCTGCCACCACGATAAAAATCACACTACATGCACAGCTCTCTCTCTCGCTCTCTCTCAGTGTACTTCAAGAACAGTTTCCCGTCTAATAATCTTTTTTCTGCATTATTCGCTTGCTTGTTACGCACAACTCCGTTCTTACAGCGCTGTCGGACGCTGTTTTTTTCCTTTTACTTGCTTCCGAAAAGAAAGCCTCATGTCTGCCGTTCAATACGCTACTGAACAAGTTTAAACTTTTTAAAATTATGCAAAATTGCAAAACGCTTAGCTATGTCTGTAATAAAACCTCTGTAACGTTGCTCTGCTTCACTTCAGCAGCATCAGGTAATGTTCATATGTTCATTAATAGTTTTCTTTCGTTTTCGATCTACTACAGAATATTTTTATAAAATCGCAGGCCAGGAAAATCACCTTCATGTTTTTCTGTGTTTTATCCTCAGCTACTTTGACACAAAGGCATCTGCTGTGATGCTTACACCTTTGATAATGTGTCAGCTTTCTTTTTATAGATATAAAAATATAGAAATGTACTGATGCATGATCTGAATTATAATATTTCTGACTGTCTGAGGCAAAATTTCCCCGATTCAAATTGAATCGAATCAAATCGAATCGAATCAAATTGAATCGTGGACCGAATCGATTCTAGAAATGAGTGACGATACCCAGCCCTACTTAATACATATCAGAGTCTGTGTGTGTGTGTGTGTGTGCGAGAGATGTATAAAAGACAAGGTTATTTAAGGTCACGGAAGGCCATATTATACACTATATGTTATGTGCAGGTGGTGCATGTGGGTTTCATTGCTGGCTAGTGTCACATTCTTCCTCGCCCTGAATGTTGCAATTATATTATTATGTTAAACATATACATGCATTTTTGCTTAAAGAGTCTCTGATGAACTTTGTTACTACCAGATGACACGTACAGGCTATGCTAACCACAGGCCTCTAGCAGGCCTGTGCTTCCTTTAACCGGTTTGCACTTGTTTGGTTTCAGAATCGTGCCAGTCGTTTTAAGATAAGATAAAGTCCCACACGTGAGACATTTTTTGGTCACGGCAGAAAGTACAAGTTAAGAGCAGTAAAAATTAAAGAAAAAAGAAAAAAAAAACCAATAGAATAGAATAAGACAAGATAGAATAAAATACTATATAAAATAGAATAAAATACTTTGTTATATTGGGAAATTGCACTTGATACTATTACACATCAGGGAGACAGGGAAAGTTATCACTGTGTAGATATGTCTGTGAAGGTTCATTGTGTAGAGTTTGTGTTTAGAACCTACTGTCGCTCACTTAAGACTATACTTTTAAGCACAGACTCGCACACAAAGGAGGAGCTTATGTTTAATTCAGCAAGACAAAACCTCAAGAGACAAATGAGCTGGGGCTAATGGTGGTTCAAACATGGAACGCACATTACAGAACTAATGGGCCAGGCTAGTCTTTGTTGGATACAGGCTATATGCTACAGTTGATAAGAAAAAATAATTCAACTCTGCAGCCTAAAAATTAGAGCTTGAAGCAGTACTCACTTTATTTTAAATGTTAGCAGCAGCAAAAATCTTTGTACACAGTGCACAAATCCCCTGGCACTATTGTATATAATCACTCCTATACCGATACCAATGCAGATGTTTGAATACCCAATACTGATAACCAATATATTTTTTTATTTATTCTTATTGTTATTTATACCCTGCTTTAGCTCTCCAACACACAATGCTTGAACATTTATCCCACAGATAATTAATGCAAATTACATCTAGGACACATATATTACTGACTAATGCGAAACCTTTGTGACCTTTCCAGTTTGGCTTATCTATTTGTGGTTAAGTCAGTTCGCAAATGATGTGGTGTCTTTATTTCTGAGGTGAAACGCCAGTAAATGTGAAAAAAGTTACACGGGGCCCAGACTCATGTTGCTCAGTAATACACAGCAAAACAAAAGCATGGCTATTGCTATTAGGTCTGAGACTGAAAAATACTATGCTCAGAAATGAACTCCCCAGAACATGTCAGCCAAGCCTCATTTAAAAACTTGTTTGACGCTAATAAAAACAATTTAGTTCCATTACCGAAGCCCAAAAAAACTAAAAAGATTTTTAGAGTCACTTTTGGCTTGAGTATGACTTTTCATTCTGTCATTTGTGGTGCAGAACACGTCACTCTGGTGACTGACGGTGCCTCTGTGCATTTGCATAAAAGGTCATTACTCAATAGGTTAACATACAACATACTGAGGCTGTCATTAAGTGATTACTTCAGAGTAATCACTTAATGCTTGAAATGCTTAATAGTCACTGGGAAGCATATTTGGTGATAAAGCAGAATGAAAGCTAGGATATTGTACTATTAAGCAAATAAAACTGACCATAAATTCCAAGCAATGTCTATTCAATCTGATGAGCACTGCAATGGAAAACAGCTCCACATCTTTTGCTCAACAGTTGCAGTAAAGTAGTCGGCAGATGCTTTGAACAAGCCCATCTGGAAGAGGAGAATATTTCCCACACACAAATCGAACCATTGCTCTTGGATTTAGGCCACAATTCAAACTCTCTTCTTCTAATGTTTGACAAACAAAGAACTCCATTTCATTCACCAACAAATAAATTATACTGTTTGCTTTTTCAAAGAATTGCTTGATTGATACCACAGTATGTTAACAGGCCAGCGGTTCTGTGTGGAAAAGCAACCTTTAAATAATGTGAGTGCTGTCAACACATTGATACGAGGTAAAAATGTAATATAAGCAACTGAAGTGAACCGTTTTTTGTTTACAAGTTGATCAGCACAGTTCGTGTCTTTCCTGTGATCGTTTTCGGAGGAAATGAGCACACGCTCTCATTATTAGGAAACTTTTGCCAAGACAACGTAAAACTATGACTCGATTTTTGTTTTCTGGCATTTCACAAATTCCAATGTATAGAGCAACATCAAAAAACAGAGCACTTTAAAAAAAGAAAACAACAACAAAAAGGAAGTAATTCCCTCTGCAACTGCCAAGTCAAATGCAAACTAAGTGCATATTTCTTCAGTCTGAATAATGTCTGTGTGAGTGTGTGCCAACTGCCACAGTCTGCCAAATGACTGACAGGCCAAAAAAGCAGACTCCAAAAACATCACTCAGTAGTGAATGAGTATGTTTCGCGCAACTGAAGTGATCCATCATTAGTCAGTGATCAGTAAAGCTAATCAGTTTACTATTGCAAAATGAGTGTATGGAAAGAATCCTACACAATATTCATTTAAAAAAATCAAAAACAAAACAAAAGTGGTTACTAAGGAAGGGTTGGTTGACTAACAAAGTATTAAGGCAACTGTAACAAGCAGCAACTCTGCTCTGTGGATAAATCAATTAACTTATCTCTGGATCGTGTTTCCATTTTGCACCATTACCATTCCAGAGGCGGCAATGTGCGAGATTGACAAATTCAGCTTAAGTTGTTCTGTGAACAGCCTCACCAGATAATTATTGCTCCGGCACCAAAAGCTCTGATAGTATAAACAAACTGACTAGCGTTGGCAGGCAGCTAATGTTGCAGAACTTAGTCTGCACACACGCACACCCGTACAGCCAAATTCACCTCTTTTAAAAATGTCCCAGATACAAAGTTCAACATGCTGGTTAAACATTTGATTGGTGCCAACAATAAAACTGTAAAGACATAATGTCACGAAAAGTGTTTACAAATGAGCTGTGGAAAGGTTAAGTAGTAGTTTTAAACATTTTATGATTGCAACGCTACTGAAAGCCACTTCTACCTAACGGTACAGTTTAATTCAGACCATTCCTTTCGAAATTATGTGAACATTAAAAAAGTCTGGTTTAATGTAAGAGTAGGGTTGATGGTTTTACTAGAAAATCAATGTTGCCAGAGTGTATTTACAATTTACCATCCAGACTAAAACTTTAACATTTTCTAATAAAGAACAGAGGAATCAAAGTTTTTCACTTGTTTCTTTTGTGCTTACAGACTTTCATTTTGATGATGCTTCTAATCCATGGTGTTTTTTAAAGGTTATATCTCAATCTCAAGGTTAATTTTTATAGTTAATCAATGATTTATTTTCAGTTTTCCTCTGAAATTATTAAAACCTTTATTTCTGGTTAAATATAGACTTTTTAATATTTTTGTCTTTATAAATAACATTTGCAAGCATATTTGAGCATACATCGTGTCTGTGCAATCCGGGTATGACAGGATAATAGTCCAAGGAGCTATCATTCAGTTTTCCAAAACTTTTACCACTCAACTAGCTTATACCCTACTTCTATGGCCTTATCAAACCATTTCGCACAAACTAACAACTTCCTGTCTCGGTTTCACAGCCAGTGCTCTTTTAAGGTAAATAAAAGTTCCCTTAAAGGGAATATGTAGTTTCCAGGCACCTCTTTAGTGTGCCTGGCACCAAGTAACCATTTCCTTCAACCATCTGCACTTGGGCTGAGACCTGCTGGCATCCCCAGTTCAGATGAAGCCATAAAACTGGCAGCTAAGTATCGAAGTCTCTTACTATAATACACAAAATCTCTCTGTCTGGTTTTTGTCTGCAAGACACATATCCAAGAATTGATCAACCCAGCTTTTTAATACAAGTACATCCCAGGCCTGAAACTTCTCATCTATATTAGACAATATGGCGTCATCACGATCCTAAAATGACCTATTTGTAGTGTTTATGCACTTATAAGACCTTGTAATACTATCACAACAGTAACATCTAATTCAGCAAATATTGATTATTTTTGATTGTTAGCTTTACAGTATCAGTATTACTATACATCATTAGGCATGACAGCTTCTGAAGTAAAAGTTACAATAAAAGTTACATAAATAAAAACAAATGAATTTATGGTAAAAGGGATTCTAAGGCATGAGAGTCAGTCTAGCCCACAAAAATTAAAAATAAATAAATAAATAAAGTAAATTTTAACCAATATTTCATTATATGCTTTTTTCTCAGGCTCATGTTATTGACATTTATTACTAAAAATTAAACAATGGAAATATAAAGCCATAATGAAAAAGGACAAGCAGACCAAATAACGCAGTAGTGTGGGTATGTACTAGTTTATTTCTTTAGTCTCACTGCTTGGTAGGTTTTGTTTGCTTCACAAGTGACCCCTTCGCCCATTTATTAACCTCTTTGCAGGTGTTTAGAAACTGAGTGACTGGACTGAGTTTCTCTTGTACAAAAAGTTTTTTGTTTCCGTTTTATGAACTAAATTCAGAAATTCCTGCACGGCTGTCAGAAACTCCAGCGGCACACTTCGACATGACTCATGGCACACCACTGACCCTTGCAACAGCACATCTGGAAACAACTGTTCTTAAACTGTGACTTACCAAACTTAACTTAAAAGTTTCAAACATCAGAGGAAGCGCCACAGACAATGCACAGTATTTTATCATAGCTTATACAATATCATAAGTCACCCTGTAGGTGAGAATGCTGCAAACAGTGTTCCCATTCCAGGTAGGTTTGGTGAGGGACAATTGTTAAAGCATGCTTACAGAGATGCTAAATCATAATACAGTGTAATCAATCATTTTTTATAGCAATGAATACAGTCAAAGAACACCTACATTCACTAAATTGTCACCCAAAGCATTGCCATAATAATGTCATGTTTTAGGCGAATCCCATTTCGAATAAAGTGAGTAGTAAACTGCTATTTCAAGATGAAGGACAGCAGAGGTTGCTGGACTAATAAAACTAAGCTGATTTTGGTTGGCATTAACTCCACTGCACACAGGGAGTGAAAGAGAGACAAAAGAGACAACCATAATGACCTGCACCACACATCAGTCACTGCCAAACTGGCCTCCGTATTTAGAAATGTGCACACATGCAGATGAAGTCAAGTGGGTTAACACATAATATATGAATCAATGATGAATCACTTAGTAGTTGATGCAAATTCACAAATAAAACATTAAAGCAATGTTTCCCTGTGTTTGTGAGGCTCGTGAGACTTGTGAGGCTCGTGAGCGTGTGTCTGCATATCACTCTCAGCAGCACTCAGTGTCATGTTGCCAACAGACCAGCAATTCTGGAAACACCGCTCTAGTCTGGCTCTGAGAGAGGGGAAGAGGAGGCATGTGAGAGTGTGTTTGATAGAGTGTGTGTGTGTGTGTGTGTGTGTGTGTGGGGGCTTTTGGTATTTGACCAGTGAGACTGAGAAGAGTTTCCCCGGCTCTGCATGTGCGTCAGTGTGCTCCTACGAGGGCTACAGCACGCTTAACCTCTCAGGGATGACTCAACTGTGTTAGTGTGCAGCGCGTGCTCCCATGGGTATTTATACATGGTGAGGTGTGAAGGAAGCCCTTTGGCTCTGTCCCTAAGGAGGGTAGCAGGGAGGCACATACTGCCTGCTCAGGGGCACGCTCTTCACATGCACAAAACCGACGGCTGCACACAAGCTAAGCCAATCTAACAGATTATGAGTCACTGATTGAAACCATCACCCTCCAACACATAGATACAAATACAACAAATAATAGCCCATCACATTCAAGCATAGTTGTTTGCTGTTGATGGTTTAGGCAGTGTAAATATGTGACACAGGAAGCAAAAAATATTGATACTATAATTTGCTATAGCTTTGCCAAGACTCTATAGATCACTTAGCAGTTTTTCAATTATATACCTTCCATAATGTTTCAATTAAAAGCTCTACAAAGACATCATCAATGCAGTCTCTTCTTTTGCCTTGTTTGGGGTAAGAATATCTGATGATGGAAGATCCAGAACAACATAGTAGATTCCATTTAATTCCCTACTTTAATGATTTCACAATTTTAGTCTATTTCAAAGTTAGAAATCGAACAAATGTGTTTATGGCTTCTCAAATCTGCAGATTTAAGCCTTTTCTTGTATTATATGCAAGTAAACAAGACTCCCCTTGCTTCTAAACTATATGTCAGTTTCAGTTAAATATCTAAATATATCTTCTTGGTCTCTAATAAATTTGTGTCAGTATTTTTTCACAATTCGAACCTTTTATTTTGAAGCGATTAATCGATCAAAGTAGAGAAAAAAATCATTTTCAGTCCAAGATTACTGTAAAACACACCTGCAATCAGAAAAACACACACACGACCTGTAAATATAAAGTACAGCAGCAGCCATGCAAGATAAATAAGATTTCTGAGAGAAGTGGTCAAAGATGGCACCATTAATGCTCCACAGCATGTGCAACAAAACAATAACAAACAACCACCGTATCTAGTAGTCTAACTTCCGTTACCTTCTCTGCGGAGCTTCACGGCTTCACCAAGGCAGTAAAGCTCTTTCTCGCTGTTATCCAAGGACGGGTCTGCGTCTGAACAAACAAAACAAGCACTTAGAAACACGCAGGGGCTTTCAGGAAACTTTGGGGGGCCCATGCGTGGAGCCCTACTGCCGCTCCTCCTGCTCCGGGGCTGGCTACCACCAGAGGATAGCATTAGCTTGCTAGCGCCTACGCTGGCTTCCTAAATCAAGTGGAGCTGTCAAAGCTAACAAACTTACAGCTGGACAGTTGGGGGATAGCATTACTGCACGCGACAACGACACAAACTCCGAGCGGTAACCGATAGCTTTGCTCGCGCGCATTTGTGCACGACTGTTAAAGCAACACATCAATATTGCATTTCGTAGTAATATTATGACAGTTACTTTGCTGCGCTCTGACAGACACCCTGCATGGTGGAGGAGCTTACTCAACTCAATCACAGACAGTTGGACCACGCACTTCCCGACAGTTTGTCCGCAAAAATAACAACGCTACCCGTCGTGCGAACTTACAGTCAACAAAACGTAATTTAGCCGCACTGACGAAGGAAGACCAAGGCTCGCAAAGGAATGTATCCGGACTTGGTATTTGGCGATCCAGTGTCGCCATTGCTCTTCCTTCTTGTTGCTTTGCTGAGAGCCGTTTTTTTCTGCCTCTCCTTCGCACGCAGCAGGCGAAAAACGAAAGAACGAGATATGTTGACGTCGTTCTCGTCAGGCTTCGGCGTTGTCCGGCAACTATCGGCGGGGGCGGTTGAGGGGCTGAAAGACAGGTACAGTATGGTTATTCACGAGTTCAAAAGTTCAGCATAGTTCAGGTAAAGCCAAAAACCCATCATCACCATTTCCATAATTTAAATATTACACTAGGCTTCGTTATAAATAAATAAATGCCTTTTTTTTAAAAAGTATTTTTGCAATAGCATGTTTTAGTAATATTTGCCCTTCAAAAAGCTAAGAAAAACTATCTTCATGGGGGGAAAATATTAGAAATTACCTCGATGTATTCAGCCAATACTGCTAAATTTAAAAATCTATATTTTTAAAGTCCACCTGTCTCTCTACAGTGTTGTGAAAAGTACTCATTATGTCTGAGGTTGTCACGTTTACATGTTTCAGACAATCAAACTAAGTTAATATCAGACAATTTTTGAATATTGATATCATTTATTACAGCAGAAAAGCTATATACACAATTATTATTCAACAATTAGAAATAGACTGGGCAAAAATGACATCATGGGAGAGTTCCAAGGAGAAAACAACTGCTGAGCAAGAAGAACACAAAAAACTCTTGATAATCCCCAAGACAGCATTTCATAAAAATAACATCTCACCAAAAGGCAAAAATGGTGTTGGCAGTGTGATGGAAGTTTTTGGAGTCAAAAGTCGATTAAAATGCAGATATAAATGCTTTTCTGTGACCTTAAACAAGCTGTCCAAGTCTCATTGGCAGTTATCACAAATACTTGACTGGAGTACTTGCTGCCATGGGTGGCACAACCAGTTATTAGGTTTATGGGCCAATTACGTTTTCACTCAGGGCCTAGTAGGTTTGGATTAAAAGCTGCAAACTAAAATTAAATTAAAAGCTGAATTTTACTCAGGTTATCTTTGTCTAATATTACGATGATGTCTGGGGAAAGATCCTTGGTCTTAGTTTATTGGAGGGACAGCTCAGGTTGAGTTGAAATGGTTTGGAGATGTCAAGAGGAGGGGTGGTGGATATATTCATATATTCAGCCAAGGATGTTGAATATGGAGCTGAAAGGCAGATGGAAAAGAGGAAGACCTCAGAAAAGATTCATGCGAGAAGAGGATGCTAGGGATAGGGCCAGATGGAGGAAGATGATCTGCTGCTATGGTGAACCCTGAAGTGAGCAACCAAAAGAAGAAGAAGAAGAAATCTTTTTATGTTTTATCTCCATTCATTATTTATCCTCATCTTCTCTGAAACACAGTGAACATGTCAGGAACCTTGGCATTATTTCTGGACATTGAATTCAGTTTTGACGATCATATCAATAGGATTGCTACAACTAATGTCTATCACTTAAAATCTATATCTATGGTTAAAAAATTCTTACCTCAAACTGACTCTGAGAAATTGCTTTCATATCAAGCAGGTTCAATTATTGTAATGCTCTCTCCAAATCATTCATAGGATGATTTCAGCTCATTCAAAATGAAAAATTTGACTACACTACCCAGTAATCAAGTTACATCATTTATTCCAGTTCAATATAGAGTTACCTTTGAAATCCTTTGATTAGTTCACAAAGCTCTCAATGCTTTCACCCTCAATTATATACCCGAACACTAATAGCTCAATACAATAGGCTTGTGCAGGTTGAGCTCATGGCATTACAATGACCTCTTGTGGTTAAAAAGAGAAGCTGCATTCACTGTGCAAAGAAGTACCAAACAATCGACTGGTGTACTTTTAAAACATTAATAATATCTTCTGAAGTAAATCATGTTTTTACTTATAAATGATTTTGGATGATCTCAGAGATGAGATGCTCTTTGTGAGTTTATTTTAAGGTGTGTGTGTATATATATATATATGTATATATATATATATATATATATATGTATATATATATATATATATATATATATATATATATATATATACACACACACACATTTTTTGCCAAAGAAAAATAAATCACGATTGTGTCCCTTTTCTCACAATATGTTTGTCGTTTCCAGTATGACAGCGATGATTAGGGATTAAGTACTCTCTGTTACATACACTTCCACTCCCACTTGATTGCAAATCGGTCTTGTGTTCTGAAACCTGAACAGAACAAATGGATTCAGATCACACACAACATACAGTCATCTTTTTAGGCAAATCAGAGGGGGCGTGAGAAAGACAGAGAATGGCGGAGATTACAAGGAAATGACAGCTCAGAAATGAGGGCAAGGAAATTGACTTGATTAGTTTACGCTGATGTGTCAATCAGATGAGATACAGACACAAGCACCGAGTCTGTGCATTCTTACATTATAATCTGTGCTTAAACACAATCCTTCCTGTCTTGCTTCCTGACACACACACACAAAAGATGACTCAGTCACAGTGTTGTGTTTATTTCCCCACATCGAGGTCCAACGGCCGATCAGAAGGTCACAGGACAATATAGGAAACACAGAGTGCTATTTTTACACTCAGCAGAGGACACGCTACTGGTTTTGTGTTACATGCTACTGGTTTTGTGGGGGGGGGTTTCTTATATAACAAAAACTTTAGTGACACAAAAGTGAAATAGTTCTTTTATTTTAAAAGGCTTCTCTTGTGGGAATGAATGTAGGCTTGCATTCATACAAAGACTAAAAGAAACGTCCTCATTTTTTTGTTTTTTTATTGGAAAAAAGTACATCCAAATTGTGCATGTGACAGAGTGCATTGCATAAGAAAAATTGTCAGGTTAAATGTAAAGGAATCATTTAAAAAAAGAAGAAGCTATAGCTGATTACAGGAGTGCAGTGGCATAACCAGTACACCAGACACTTGCTGTTTCACTGAACTTTAAAGTTAAAGGAATAGAAGGAATGAAACCACCCTACACAGAGACAGTCAAAACAGAATAGAAAGGACAAGGAGAAAAAATTATAATAATCAAAAAACACATCTGGATATACTGAAAATGAGAAATGATACAAAAATACGACACAGTACTTAAAACACAATACCAGCTCACCATTTGGTCTGGGGGAAAAAAACCAAAACAACTATGGAGAACAGGATGGACTAGTTTAAACAACGGCACAATAACAGGCTTAAAAATCACATAAGAGATATGTAGGAAGCTTAAACCAGGATAAAAGAAAATAGCGCTTTGGCTGAATATTTTCGCTGCAAAAAGTGATGAAATTAACAAGAAAGTTGAAAATGCTTTAACTGGTACCTTTGAAGAAAAGTGTGACTGCACTGCATTTGGATTAAAGAAAGCAACTCTCAAGTATTCTTCATGGATTTATGCTCACAGTGCTTAAAGAGACAATTCACATCAAAAATCAAATTTACATATTTGCTTAGCTGACTGACACCGTGACAGGATGTAAACAGACAGGTTGTGCCCTGTTTGTTGGACACATGGTAGTACGCCTGGGGAAAAAAATGTATATTTGATTTTGAGGGTGAATTGTTCCTTTAATGCAACATTGATAAAATCACACAAGCACCTCATCAGTGCAAAATAAAAAGGTCCTAGACTACAGTTATTTTAACCTTGGAAATAAACTAGGTCAGGCTGCTTGCCTGTTTTTTACAAAGAAAAATCCGTAAGGATAAATGGTTGGCATGAGTCGAGTTTCATAGAGACTTCAGTGATTCCCTCTTTCTGACACTAGATGGTATGAGGGAGTCAGTTAACTGATGTAAAAGAAATGGTTTTGGAATGAGGCATATCTTTTTAATCTACAAATATTTTTGAAAAATGTGCAAATACAAGGCAAAATGTATATTACATTTTGCAATATCGATCACACTCACTTTTGTAAATAAACACATTTAGTTACGGTTAACAAGGAGTCATAAAATGTGCTTTTCACACTGCCCTTAAAGCAGATGATCTTAGATCTTAGAAAATAAAATGTCCAAGTGTGGTGTCACAGAGAAAGGGCTGAGCACCTTATGTTCATCTGTGTAAAAATAAGTGTAATAAACCTCATAAACTGCAATACTTCTATGAAGACCAAATCAGGTCATAGGATTCGATCACCGTGTGCAAAGCATCTGAAGCCATTTAAGAATAATAGAACAGCGGCGCATTTAAAAGGATTTGGCATGCTTGTTGCATTGGTGCTGCTATTGTGTGTGGATGGCTTCTTGTCTACCACCTGATACCACATCAGGTCATATTGGGTTACAAAACACCAATGCAAATCTGTACTGCTGCAAAACTTAACTGCAGTCAGCAGTTTAATATGAGCTACCCATTGATCCTTCACTTTGTGTGTCTTCATCACTTTCACAGAGTATTTGTGTGTGTGTGTTTATGTGTTAAAATCTCTTCATTTCTCCACGTGTACTTAACATGCACGCATACTTTTTGTATGTGTATGTGTGTGTATGTGTATGTGTGTGCGTGCGTGCACTTAAGGGTGATTTTCTGTATGTGGCATGTGCATGTTTTCTGTGTTTTGTACTGAGTCTTTGTGTGTATCTGTATGTTAGATTGGGGCAGGGACCTGGTGCCTTCCTGGTCCAGGTTGGGATGAAAATTTCCGGGAGTGCCAGCGAGTCTCTTTGTACACAAACCAAGCATTGAACGCCCACACAAGCATGTTAAGGTAGCCAAACACCTGGATAATATAGACAAAAAAATAATCATTAGAAATATTTTTTTTATATCAATGCAATATTTAGTAATGTTAAAACCAATATTTTTTTAGCTTTCAAACACACAAAGCAGAAACAGATTTCCCGAACATTTGTTGCCATTCCAAACATGCCCTCTGGTGGACAAACGATGAAACATCAATCAAAGGTGCTGCTCCTGTCTATTCTATGCTTTACACATTTTCATTTATTGGCACTTATAAATGCAGATAATCATATATCAGCAAACAGTTAATATCAGCTGATTATTATTTCATCTCACCACAGATATATTGAGGGTCCGCATGTTAGCAAACTCCGTGACCT